GTAGGAATGATCGACTCATGGTCCTGACAAAGTGTTGTTATTTTTCAGGTCAATCATAAATCCAATATGGCCGCCACGGCCACCATTTTGAAAACATATTTCAAACTTAAAGTCAAGTTCTGCTAGGCCGATTGAACTGAAACTTTGTAGGAATGATTGACTCATGGTCCTGACAAAGTGTTGTTATTTTTCAGGTCGATCAGAAATCCAATATGGCCACCACAGCTGCCATTTTGGTAAACTATTTCAAACTTAAAGTAAAGATCTACTTGGCCGATTGAACTGAAACTTTGTAGGAATGATCGAATCATGGTCCTGACAAAGTGTTGTTATTTTTCGGGTCAATCAGAAATACAATTTGGCTGCCATGGCCGTTATTTTGCTACTAAGTTCTAATAGGCCGATCTCACTTAAAATTGGTCTAGGAATGATCAGCTCATGGTCCTGACAAAGTTAAGTTAACATTATACTATTTTTTCTCAAATTGGTACATATTTCAACAACAAAAATAAATACTATAGACTCAGGTGACCGTTAAGGCCCATGGGCCTCTTGTTTCACTTGATATTTTCATTTAATTAACAGTTAATCATTAAATCTGCATAAAATTGTCATGGTAAAGAAAAAAATAATTGAAGGCTACTTTATAGGAAATGCCAATTTTGATGTTATTGCTAAAAATAGACAAATACTTTGTACTAAAATAATTGGCTAGCAATGGATGGCATCCATTTGGAGCAGTATATATTTTCTTACGGGGGAAGCTTGTAATGTTTTCCTAACAAGCATCATCCTTTGTGGCCATGTGTGATTCTGTATTAAAGTAGAACCATTGGTTAGGTTCTAATATATTGTATTCATCTTTAATCAAAATGGATTTTCGTACTTGTGAATGAAAGGACTGTTGCTTACCAATGTTGATTTTGTACATTTCAGCAAATGGCGATTGGTCCTAAAGGATCAATTATAAAAAAGATCAGACAAGATTCCCATGCAGCACTCATGGACGCTTTCCGCTGTGACATCATATTGAGACTGAAAATTCACAATGAAGACAACAAGAACAAAGAAAAATCGAAGCACACTAAACTGAAAACCATCCAGAAAAGTAAAAACCGTTCAGCAAAAAGCACATCAAAATCAAATTACAAGGACACTAGCAATATAGAAGATGAAATCTCCAAAATGGGCAATTCAAAAACACCTTGAATTTATTACCTTTCTTGCATGACCTGCGGAATGAACCAAAGGTGGTTGAGGAATTGGTGGAGTACAGACTTGTTACGGAGACTGTGCAGGGATAAATGTTCTATTCTACTTGGCTTCTGTAACAAATTAACTGTTACAGTCTCCATGTTCACAACTTGATCACCCTCCCATCACTAGATCAGATTATGACTTGTCCCCCAGTGCTAGGATCTTGCTACCGATTATCCTCATGTCAGGAACATGGGACCTCATCAGCCTCATGTCGGGACTCCGCAGCTCCTTTCATCCACATGTTAGGTCCTTGAAACTTTTCAGCCTGTGTTAGGACACTCGGATTTGGTCACCCTGATGTTTGGACTCGCAACTCATTTTATCGCGTGTCAAGACCTCAACTTTTCAGCCTGTGTGAGCACACTGGGACTTGGTCAGTCTTGTGTCAGGATCTCAAAACATTTCGGCGTGTGTCAGCACACTGGGACTTGGTCAGTGTTTTGTCAGGACCTCGAAACATTTCAGCATGTGTCAGCACACTGGGACTTGGTCAGTGTTTTTTCAGGACCTCGAAACATTTCGGCGTGTGTCAGCACACTGGGACTTGGTCAGTGTTTTGTCAGGACCTTGTAACTCCATTCATCAACATTCATCACTATTTGTTTTCCTGTGTCAGCACCTCTAGACTTGTGTCATGGACTCACTATTCAGTCACCTTTAGTTGAGAATTTACTCCTTCAGATGTCAGAGGCTGTGATAGTTACCTAGGTAACACCATGTGTTTCTTGCTTCCCTGAAGAAGCATTGTTTACACACTAAAATAAATTTGATGATCTTAAATGATGTGACCTTTTCTTGTATGTCATCAGTTCACTTTCCTGATGAGCTTGATCAGGACAATGGTTTGTGTTTAAGATATAATCTAAACTTGAGAACCCTCCCACGTTATGCTGGTCAAAGTGGTCATCACAAATAGGTCTGGGCATTTCCTACAAGTATTCAGAGTTTTCAGACACGATCAATTTTAAAGGTCAGGACTGTTAACCTTGGAATGGTATCATCTTCATCATTTATTCAGTATAAAGATGAGCTGCATGTGATGGCTTAATGTAGAATTGCATTTTCGACACTAGTGCAACCCTTTCCTTATATGGAATCTGATGTCCCCTTATATTTGATGTTAGCAGGTGGGTACAAGTGCAGTACCGCTCATTATCTTGAGTACCCATCATGTAATCATTATTGTATTATCTACAAACCTGTTGACATGATAAATTATGCAAGCTCAGACAAGTTTGATAACACCCATTATTATATGCTTGATAATTTCTCGCTTCGCCTCAGTCAGTATCACTTTTTCAGGTTCAGATAATAAATTTTAGAGTTATGACCCTTTATAGAATACTGGCAACTGTGCACTACAAGTTAATAACTGCCATAATCAGGCTAATATTTGGGGTTAGGGCCCTTTATGAAATTATGGAAACAAACGATATCAGCTCAATATTTTTTGAGTAAAAGTAGTCATATCTTGAATTTCATTTGTATTTCAGACATCTAAATCTCAATCTGTAAAACACTTCAATTACTTATGGGGCAAGTGCATAAATAATCTTGGTCAATATTCATTTTATACAAAGACTGAAGTTGAACAAAATCAGCACATGGCATTTGACTGGTATTGTTCCACCCCTTCAGTACTTCTGTTCAATAAATATTAACATGTTAGGTTTCTGTCGTATGTTTTTTAGCTCACCGGTTTAGAATCAGAGGTGCTAGTTTCAAATACTTTTCAGTCTTAAATCTGTATGCTAGATATTGAATAAGGTGGTTTTATTAGATCACCTGGCCCAAAGGGCCAAGTGAGCTTATCCCATGCCGCAGCGTCCGTCGTCCGTCAACTTTTCCCTTTAAAACGCTACTAGTCCTGAACGGCTCAGAGGATTTTGACCAAATTTGGTCTGGAGTATCATTGGCCAAAGGGTTCTCAGTTTTGTATAAACGGAGAGTATGGTCACCCTGGATGCAGAGGGGTGGGGCCAAATAGGGGGAAAATAGGTAAATCTTTAAAAAATCTTCTTCTCAACCAATAGAAGGATTTTGACCCAATTTTTTTTAGAGTATCTTTGGACAAAAGAGACTCAAGTTTGTATAAACGGAGGGTGTTGGCCCTCTGGGAGCATAGGGACGGGGCCCAATAGGGGAAATAGAGGAAATTTTTTTCTCCTACTATACAAGTGAAGGGATTTAAACCAAATGCAGTCTGAAGCATGCTTAGGGACAAAAGAATCAATTTTGTTTAAACTGAGGTGTGTGGACCCCCTTCTTTAGGGGAGATGAGTTGGGCCCATTAGGGGAAATAGAGGAAAACATTAAAGATCCTTATCCTTCTGTACCGATGAAGGGATTTTAACCTAACCAAACTTGTTCTAGAGAATCTTTGGGCAAAGGGAATTGAATATTTATAAATAAGGGGGGAAAAAATCAATGTTTTTAAAATTTGTATAAAAAGATGCATGTGATGTCCAATAGGAGAAATAGAGGAAAATTGGGACATAACATGGAAACTCATTTTCTTGGTGTCTTTCCCACCAAAACAGATTTATCTGTAGTTCTTCTTGCAACTTTGTTTCTTGTACTCCTTTGATAAACCTGAATGGTACTCAGCAGGTTTTAAATTGAAAAATAAAATACCAGGTGAGCTATTAAGGCCCCTGGGCCTCTTGTTTTGATAATCTATAAGTACATGAAGTCGATTAAATCCAAGGGACCACTGCCCTTTCGACTGATGCAAAACTGGCAAGTCTTGTTCAGAATGGAGGAGATATTTTAATATTTATACAGTGTAACATAAATGTACACAACTGATAAAATTAAGTAAAAACACAGAGTAAAATGATGAGTTAAAAGAATTTAATACATTTCCACAATACACACCACACCTGTGCCAACATTTACACCGAACCACAGTTATAATACTTTCATTTAACACGGTCACAATCCATTTTCACCATCTACTTGCATTCCTTTCATTCAGACAACTCAATCTTAAGTGAAGTCCTTTAAAAAAAACACAATTCATAGGATTCCTAGCCGACACTGAACAAGTTTACAGGCTTATCAACAATTACAACAAACATAATTTTGACATGGAAAACGTTTTCAACAGATCGACTGTCAGTGTTTTGCACAAAAATGTGTAACACTTCAGCTTTAAATACACTGTATACAGAAAAACGTATTACGACAATAAAATTACCAGAATGAGACCACGCTTTTTGTTTTCTATCCTTCAGTTATGGGACTGCCTGTATTTAACTGTTATATTTGGGCACTAATTAAACAAGAAATTAAAAGCACTGAAGATACTTATGGTGAAATTTTAAGAAGGTAAACTACATGTAATAGAAAATTATTTTCAAATAATTTACACATATGTAGGTAGTTGAAGTTTTTATTTTTGGAAACAACCCTATCACATATACTTGTTACCCTGTAGAAGATCAACATAAACCCTTCAGAACCATCAGTTCTATAGAATATAATAAAGTTCACACCATTCTAAATTGATCACTTGTATACCATGATAGAAAAACATTCTGGAGACCTATACCAGCATGTCATCCATACAGTTTAACCCTTTCACCACTGTAGACCTTAATGGACAGTTTTAAGTCGAATGTTAAATAAAGAGAAACTATCTTAGTGTTTAATTTCTTTCAAACCAATCCGAGTAAACTCTTGGTTACTTTTTAATTTGTGCTGTTACAAAATAAAACGTATACTGCCTGTAAAAATATCTAATATTTCTAGTGCGTTTATTACTATATTTATATGCTATTAGAAATACTTATTATCTATTTATATCTCTGACCGTTTCTTTTATGGATATTTTTTTTGTAACATTCTGAAATAATTGTAATTCAAAATAATCATTACTTAACCAAATTGCTAAATGCTCCAGTGACGCTTTTTTTAAGAATTTTGCTAGGTCCTGAAATAATTACAACTCAAAATAATCATAATTTTACCAAATTTCTAAATGCTCCAGAGAAGCTAATTTAATTCAAATATATGGTAGCGTGTTTTAGGCTTTCGGCATTTTCATAATAAAACTCTTAGCTATAACTCCAGTTATATCAGATATATTTTCTGAGGTAAAATGCTAGTGTCATATGAATATATACAGTGCAGGTAGTTGTCACAGCAATAGACAACCAAACATTTTTATAGCGACAAATGGAAGCTCGGAAGTTTTGGCAATTGTTTAAATGTTCACATGAATGAGTTTGAGTTATTCTGTGACCAGGGTATCATCAAACGATAAGTAAATTCTACGCGGCCACAATAGGATCATTCATTTGATAATCACCTTGATATAAATAAACTACATCAGGTCTGAGATGTCGTGAATAATTTAAGCATGATTCTGTACCGTAAGTACATTTGTTTATTATATGCTAGGTACCTGTAGGGCTGATAATTTATATCATTGGCAAAGCAAAAATTAAAGAATATTGTGCGAAAAATAAATGAAAATTGAACCTTGACAATACAAACATGTAATGAAATGTTGATGGATTGTGGTGTACACGCGTGAATGAATATCCGTTAGTAAGATATGTAAATAAGCCTGTACAACTTAGCCTCCGGTTACCTCACAATGTCTAAAATGTCACAGTTCAACAGTACACAATGGAACAGATCTCGCACAAAATCTTTAACTGAAAGGATGAAGCTACAAAAATGAAATCAAAAGTTGCAAACAAAAACATTCACCAAGCGGAATAAAAACTTCAATACTCGCTTACATTCTTCTGTCAATGGTAGCAGTGATAAAGTAAATATAGGGTTGCTATGTGACTGCCAGGTTTACATATAAACATCTTTATGTGCTTTTCAAACTAATATATAGCAGGTATCAGTTCTAAAATCTAATTTTGGACATGGTTTTCTTGTTTTACACCAGAATGATTACAAAGAGGCCAGGCTGTTTAAAACCCTGATCAGTTTAATAGCAACACAAATATTCAAAATGTGATTTTTGAGAATTATGTGAAAAATAGTTAAATGTCAGTCATTCATATATTCATTTCAATCTTTATATATTATTTATTTTTGAATTTCAATCTTTCTGGAAATATACTTGTTTGACATTTTGCATTAAGTTCGCAATAAGCTTATATTATGAGGTTTTGCACAACCGGAATGTTTAAACATAATGATGTTTGCAGTAAGCTTTACTCCATCTTCCCTAATGACAGAATCAAGTGAGAGGTAAACTTGTACACAATAAATGCCTACGATGTTGGAAACAACCTGTTTTTTCAGCCGTAATTATACTGACCATTGTTAAAGTCAGAAAGTTATCTTGCTCTACAAATGTCATATCTACACTTTCCACTTTTCCTCGGTAAGTAATTAACAGCATGTCAGAAATTCCATTCCGAAAATAAGTTTGATGGGTTATTTTTTACACAAGTTTTCATATCACAAACAGCAAAGCAATATTACAGAGGGGATAGGAAATGTTGTGTACAAATAATGTCAACATTATAATCAGTTGCTCTCCTGGAAAATGACACCTAATTTGTTGCTATCCTAGAAAATGAAAAAGAAAAATAGCTTGCATTGTAAAAATTTAATGTAGTCACTTAAGTAGAATTGTCAAGCAACTCTGTGAATAGTGATAATTGAAGGACAGTAAAAATTTACATACTGTTTAGATAAAATGTGTAAATTGCGAAGGACCAATATGCTCAATAAGTGAAACCGTCTCCAAATTTGCTCCTTGTATTTGTTCTCAAATTTAATTCTGGCGTTTTGACCAAAAATGTTATTAAAACTTGACAGAGCATATGGTTTTAAAATTTAACAATGTTTAAAATCTGAATTACCTCCTTTGCCTCAATATTTTCTCACTCCCTGCTAAAAGTAGAGGTTTTTCTCTCACTCTATGGTAAAAGAATCTGTCTGCCTTACATATTCCAGCTAAGCACTGTGTTTTCTACAACAAGTTTTACTTGATTTTAAAAATATGTTTCTTACCCTATACATGTTAAAGTCACATAAAATTTTAAAGTCTAAAATATAAGTAAAAATCATTTGAATTTCAGCTACCTTCCCATAACTCAATTAAAATACGCCATACATAAATGCCTGGTACCGTAATATATTGTGTATGACATAACATGTACTCAGGGCTGTGAACTCTGATAAGTCAACGTTCCTTAAAACATCTCACTGGCATAGAGGCTACCAAACAAGTACCAACATCCATACAGTAGCTGGGTAGGATAACACATAAATAACATATAAACACATATACATCAGCTTGTCACGTAACAAACCAAAAATCCATGAATATGAAATCTAGCTACACAATGATAACATCCTAACAGCTAAGCAGATTGACACCCTGTGAGGCTTGTAGCCAGAACAGGTACAACAATAGCATAGGAATATGTCTCTTTAACATATGTATATCCCACACGCCAACATTCAGGTATCTCCGATAACATATGTATATCCCACACGCCAACATTGTCTCTTTAACATATGTATATCCCACACGCCAACATTCAGGTATCTCCGATAACATATGTATATCCCACACGCCAACATTCAGGTATCTCCGAAAAATCTACAGCAACATGTTAGTAACTGGCAGGACCTTCACCAGAGCCTCTCCCTGCTCATACAAATACACAAACTCCTGGAAACCATTTTGGTCCTGTTCATTGTTGCCATGGTCACCTGTCCTATCATATCATTCCTTCACTTCAAATGCAGAATATCATTTGTAAATTTCCTCTAACATCAGATGTGCATTTTTCACTCTGGTATAAAGTCTTCATTCTACAGTCTTCCTTCTGCATATAAACTAGCTGGCTGTTTGTTTCATTTTTAATTGTCTAAGCCCAGGCCACATCCTGTCCTCTGCTCTTTGTCCTCAGAGATTTTCACACAAGTTACAGATATTCTGATTCAACTTATGGATATCATTACTCTTGCAATGTTCAAATCAAAGATTTCACAAAGAAGTAATCACCATTTAGCTTCCAAGAAATCCTTGTGTGAAGTATTTCAACTTCATGAAATAAATGTTCTCCTGAACTCTTTCCCCAGAACTATCACATGTTCGACACACAGAAATGGCCATGATGATTATACGGTAACACTTTTGTCCTTGAATGGCCTTCAGGTTCTTGTAAATCAAGTAAAAAATATAACAAACATCTTCTATTCTGAAATCTGGCCTGGGTATGGATGTAATGAGTGAGAAATGCTGGAGTTTTCATTATCGACTGATGCTGTAGACGGGCCGCTATACATCCAGGTTTTTGGGTTGGATTTGAACGATGAAGGGTTCGTGCCACATTCTCCGAAGATCTCCCTGTAGAAAGACAAGAAAAAAATGAAAATAAATTTCATTGAAAAATAATTCTAGTGACAAAATATACTTCACTACAAGTCTCCTAACCTGCATATAATAAAAATTCTTAATTCTTGAAAAATTCTGAAATTCCAAATTTCTTTCAAATATTCATATTATTTTTGTCAGCAATTCATTCAAAGTTCCAAGTGATAATGAAATTTTTAACTTTACATAAATATTTCATTTGACATGAGAAGCTATAGCTATTTCCCTACTGATCTAGGCATGTGAGAATGTGAACTATTAGGGCTGTTTTCGGCTGTGGTTGTTTTGTTGTGTTAGATTGGATTAAAATCATTTTCAGTGTGCTAACTTAGTAATCAAGAACCCATACTTCAGCTACAGAGATACATAATGGAAAACTTGAAGACAGTTCCATAGTAGATGCATTATTACTGATTGTACTAAAAAATCTAGTGAAGTGTTTATCCGAGCTTATCACCTATAGATACACAGGAAATGTGAGGTTTTATTTATCATATGATATTAACTAATGTCTCCAGGAAATAGAATCACAAACAGTGAATCATCATACAAGGATCCAAGTGTTTAATCAAGTATGTTGTCTCAGACAGCGAGCTCTTAAGGTAATAGGATTGTGTCACCATTTCTCAGTAGAATTTCTTCAAATTTTGTAGTTATATTGCTTTAAAGTAAAGAAAATTTTCTTGCCACAAACAAATATAGGTTGCCAGAATTTTAAGGATTTTAAATGGAAATTTATGTAAAAAGGAGTGAATTTTGAAAATAAAATGAAACACACAATATTTTTACAAAATAATGTCAATAAAAATGATACTGACATATATTAGTATTGCATTAATGTATATCAATTTAATCAATGCTGAAATTGTGTAAAATTAATTCTCTATACACGATATAAAAATTGACATTTTATAATAAAACCATATACACATAGTAATTGCAGGTAAGAGTTAACGTTCTTGAAACACTTCACAGTAGTGAAGTAGGTAGCCGTTTCCTGAAGTACAGAAAAATGGACACATGTGACTCATTGATAAAAAAAACCTGAATTAATGCCTGGATTGCTTTGAAATACTTTAATATTGAGAGAACACACTGTTCTGTCAATAATAAACATACAATATTCATCAGTTTAATATTAAACATTAGAATTTGCGGAAATTGTGATACTGTCTCCCTACATTGGATTTTCAACTAGGGATGTACTTCCTACTTCTGTTTATCAATACACTCCGATGACCTTAAGGAACCTCCTTGGTAAAATCTTCCTGGTAGGGTGACTGACTTTATACAAATCAGTATATCCATCGTCAATAGTTAAAGTTGCCTTAGTGATAATATGTATGTATTAACACTGATCGCCTCTAGCTACCCTCCCTGTTCTGGTTGGCATATGTAATAGCCTAGTTTACTATAAACTTGATGCCTTAGATAAGTTAACTCATTCATCCCTGAAATTTTATAATGAACTATTCCAACCTTTGATCTGGAAGCGTTTAAAGGTGTCTTCAGGGATGAATGAATTAATTTACATTTGGTAACATCAATACCACCCACTGTTGTCATGGAAACAGTTTCTTTACATAGCTATAACTTCTACTGTATAATTATCATAAACACACTCACTGCTAACAATACTCAAGTGTATGGATGGTGCACTTAATAAACAATTTTGATTAACTGACCCTGAAGAGCATTTCAATACTTCCATAACTATTTACTAGACAGACTTTACACACATCATTCATCATTCCTGTCAATACCCCTAGGCCTTAATACCAGAGTCCCACACATCTAGGGTCACAGACCAGTTGATAGGGGTCATAGGTCAATAGCCAGAGGTCAAAAAGAACCAGCTGCTTGGAGGAAATAACCACAACAGATTGGATAGCTGACATAAGAACACCACAATACCACTAGATTTGAATACCAAGGAAACTAGACCTACCTTCTCTACCTTTCATTGTAGCTTGGAGGACAACATCCTTCGATTACTATTTTACATTCTCTGCACCCTTATGTGATGATAAGGGTCAAACTGGTGTCAACCAAAAGGTGGCGCACATAGAGCCTTTGATTTTGTTATGACATATTCCAGCGGTGTAGAGAAAGTGAGGGAGTGTAACCCCTGGATATCGAGAATGAACGAACGATTACTTTTGAATTCCAAAGAGGCCAAACCTACGTATCCTACCTTTTATCATACTGTAAATTGAGATATTTTCGCGGGGCCCAAACTTCATGGTTTCCCGAAAAAAGCACCATTTTGTGGGAACATGAATTTGTGGATTATGAGTACCTGCTCATACAGAGAATGGCTTTATGTCAAACTTTTAATTACTTTGTAGACCTATGAATTGGTAGATGAAGATTACACCACAAAATATACAAAATTAAATACCCCAAGAAAATAAGTGATGTCACAGTATCTCAAAGGACAGTTACCTTGAGGTATGCCATCGTTAGCAGGGGTAACAAAGTGAATGGAACCAGGTACAGGAGGGCAGGCTGGGCGGCCTTGAACACTTCAGAGGAAACGGTGGCCGTTAACAAACCTGAAACATACATGTCATTAATACATCACAAAGGTAGAGTCTACCTGCAGGAAAAAAACCTGTAAACATGTATGACAATGCCTTGATATATTGTCCCTTGCTTTTTCACCTTTTTTTTTACCAATTCCTTTATACTTCTCAACTGATATACTTTGAAGCCAGACGTTATTTGTCAGTTAATGGAGATATTATTGAAAGAGTTCTGGAAAATGTGTCATTCTGGAAATTATAATAGTCTATTGACTGTACACAGTTATAAGTCACCGACTTGTTTGACTGTAGACACAGTTACCCAGCTGTACTTACCTAAGAAATAGCCTACTAGTGAACAATGGACTGTTGACACAGTCACTTGGCTGTACTTACCTAAGAAATAGCCTACTAGTGAACAATGGACTGTTGTCACAGTTACCTGGCTGAACTTACCTAAGAAATAGCCTACTAGGGAACAATGGACTGTTGACACAGTTACCTTTCTGTACTTACCTAAGAAATAGCCTACTAGGGAACGATGGACTGTAGACACAGTTACCTGGCTGTACTTACCTAAGAAATAGCCTTCTAGGGAACAATGGACTGTAGACACAGTTACCTGACTGTACTTACCTAAGAAATAACCTACTAGGGAACAATGGACTGTAGGCACAGTTACCTCACTGTACTAACCTAAGAAATAGCCTACTAGGGAACAATGGACTGTAGACACAGTTACCTGACTGTACTTACCTAAGAAATAACCTACTAGGGAACAATGGACTGTAGACACAGTTACCTCACTGTACTAACCTAAGAAATAGCCTACTAGGGAACAATGGACTGTTGACACAGTTACCTCACTGTACTTACCTAAGAAATAGCCTACTAGGGAACAATGGACTGTAAACACAGTTACCTGACTGTACTTACCTAAGAAATAGCCTACTAGAGAACAATGGACCGTAGACACAGTTACCTGACTGTACTTACCTAAGAAATAGCCTACTAGAGAACAATGGAAGTATGTGAGCTTCTGTACGTAGTTGGAAGGTGGCGGTACACCGGCCTCAATGGACGTCACCTGGGACCTCTTGTACGCATCGTACCGCAGCACAAAACAGAGCAGAAGCCCTGGCATCACCTACAAAGTAAACAGCTTGTCGTACATTCTCCAACAAGGAAGGTTGACTTTAAAATAGCAAGTGACCTTGACAATGACCTTGGAACCCTGAAATACGAACTTATTTAAGGTATTCTCATATTTGTCCATTGTGTAAAATTTGATATAAAAGCTGTTTGAAGTTGGTAGAGTTGGGAAATGAATCGTAATGAGGCATCATTTCCCACACCTTCAATATTTCATGTATGTTCTAAAAAAAAATGAAGAAAATGTTTAGGAACACATTCTATGAAACTTCATCAACAGTCTTGAATTCAGTTAAAAGGGAAGTCATACTTACTATATCTCCTAAGCCCAGCATGGAAAAGTGACTAGAATTCTGCATACTGTAACAGAACCAAATCAACATCTATCACATGTGATGGAAACACAGGAAACAGGAATGCATTTCATTAATTATTGTGAACAGAATTGATTATTAATAAGATAAATACCACACATATCTGTGACAAATTAGTAAACTTACACAATTACTGAATGAATTAACATTAAGATAATTTTTACTGCCATACAGTAATCTTCAGTTCTGATACCATAGAAACAGATGAACTTCTGTAGTGGAAGCATTCACCAAACGTGAGTATGTGAAGTCCAGTTACCTTGGAAACACTAATTTTCCTGGCAAGGATAGTTTTGGAGCATCTCTCATCAGACCATTTAGGTGCAGCTTTTTGGCAAGAACCCCCACCTAAGGAAACACAAATTGCAAATGTACATTTTTCAAAAAATATTTCAATTTTGGAAAATAAGTTTTCTTTGACAATTTTTTGACAATTTGCAAAAGCTTAAGGGACCAGAATCACGTTATAGGATTAACACAATCATAGACAATGTCACAACATCATAAACATAGATCAACTTACAGGGTTTTCTGCGGGTCGAGTGGCTACCTTTACCATTACATTGGCACTAAATATGTAGGAAGAGAAAAACACCTGTGGAAAAAAAGACAGGTAACTTACAACAGGTAAATATATACAAAATACTGGAAAGTCGAGACAACTTTTTCATATGATAACAACAATTAAAATTTGCTATAATCACATTATTATAGTGTTATTTCGTGAATACATCCATGCTACATATTTTGTATATGAACTCAGTAATATGACCTGTTGTGATGTCCTAACATGGTAATGAAACGTTACAGATTTCCAGATGATATTAACACGCACAATGGAGACGGTAAATATAGAGCTAAAGATGGCAGAATTTTTAATCTTAAATGATGATCTAGAAAAGCTTATCTTTTGAATTAGGCAAAAAGAGTTCTTGATCATGTGATAAAAGGATCTTTAATTTTCATCAAACTCATTTCATCAATTTCAAATGAAACAGAAAGTAAGGTATGATCCTATTCAGTCATGATTGCTAAGTCTTAATTAAATGAAAGTAACATATTTCAATAATTAAATTACCCACCATAGTTTTTTTTCATGGCAAACATTTTTATCACCAAGATAGTCTATTGAGATTGATATGAAGATTGTGGGGACTTACCCAGAACACATCGTAGATAAGAAGACCAACCAGGAGTAGCGTGGACACCTTGAGACTGGGAAGTCTAACGAGGGCTATAAACGCCACACAGAGCCCCATACCCAGGGCTGAAACACAAAACAAGAACAGTTATAATAATTCAACTAGAATTCAATTTTCTGTATTTTTAAGAACAGATTAATACTGGCATCAAAATAATTTGAAATCTTTTGAATTTTCTTTCACTGTGAGTTATGCATCTATGGGTTACTATCCATGAGTAGCCAGTGGCCAGTGACAACCAGTTACACACTGATGACAGGTTGTTATGGTGACTTACCGTCCATGAGAAGCCAGTGGCCAGTGACAACCAGATACACACTTATGACAGGTTGCTATGGTGACTTACCGTCCATGAGTGGCCAGTGGGGACCAGTTACACACTGATGACAGGTTGTTATGGTGACTTACCATCCATGAGTGGCCAGTGGGGACCAGTTACACACTGATGACAGATTGCTATTGTGACTTACCATCCATGAGTAGCCAGTGGCCAGTGACAACCAGATACACACTGATGACAGGTTGTTATTGTGACTTACCGACCATGAGTAGCCAGTGGCCAGTGACAACCAGTTACACACTGATGACAGGTTGTTATGGTGACTTACCGACCATGAGTAGCCAGTGTCCAATGAGGACCAGTTACACACTGATGACAGGTTGCTATGGTGACTTACCGTCCATGAGTAGCCAGTGGCCAGTGGGGACCAGTTACACACTGACGACAGGTTGCTATGGTGACTTACCGTCCATGAGTAGCCAGTGTCCAGTGACAACCTGATACACACTGATGACAGGTTGCTATTGTGACTTACCGTCCATGAGTAGCCAGTGGCCAGTGACAACCAGATACACACTGATGACAGGTTGTTATGGTGACTTACCGTCCATGAGTAGCCAGTGGCCAGTGACAACCAGATACACACTGATGACAGGTTGCTATGGTGACTTACCGTCCATGAGTAGCCAGTGGCCAGTGACAACCAGATACACACTGATGACAGGTTGCTATGGTGACTTACCGACCATGAGTAGCCAGTGGCCAGTGACAACCAGTTACACACTGATGACAGGTTGCTATTGTGACTTACCGACCATGAGTAGCCAGTGGCCAGTGACAACCAGTTACACACTGATGACAGGTTGCTATGGTGACTTACCGACCATGAGTAGCCAGTGGCCAGTGACAACCAGTTACACACTGATGACAGGTTGCTATGGTGACTTACCGACCATGAGTAGCCAGTGGCCAGTGACAACCAGTTACACACTGATGACAGGTTGCTATTGTGACTTACCGACCATGAGTAGCCAGTGGCCAGTGACAACCAGTTACACACTGATGACAGGTTGCTATTGTGACTTACCGACCATGAGTAGCCAGTGGCCAGTGACAACCAGTTACACACTGATGACAGGTTGCTATTGTGACTTACCGACCATGAGTAGCCAGTGGCCAGTGACAACCAGTTACACACTGATGACAGGTTGCTATTGTGACTTACCGACCATGAGTAGCCAGTGGCCAGTGACAACCAGTTACACACTGATGACAGGTTGCTATTGTGACTTACCGACCATGAGTAGCCAGTGGCCAGTGACAACCAGTTACACACTGATGACAGGTTGCTATTGTGACTTACCGACCATGAGTAGCCAGTGGCCAGTGACAACCAGTTACACACTGATGACAGGTTGCTATGGTGACTTACCGACCATGAGTAGCCAGTGGCCAGTGACAACCAGTTACACACTGATGACAGGTTGCTATTGTGACTTACCGACCATGAGTAGCCAGTGGCCAGTGACAACCAGTTACACACTGATGACAGGTTGCTATTGTGACTTACCGACCATGAGTAGCCAGTGGCCAGTGACAACCAGTTACACACTGATGACAGGTTGCTATTGTGACTTACCGACCATGAGTAGCCAGTGGCCAGTGACAACCAGTTACACACTGATGACAGGTTGCTATTGTGACTTACCGACCATGAGTAGCCAGTGGCCAGTGACAACCAGTTACACACTGATGACAGGTTGCTATTGTGACTTACCGACCATGAGTAGCCAGTGGCCAGTGACAACCAGTTACACACTGATGACAGGTTGCTATGGTGACTTACCGACCATGAGTAGCCAGTGGCCAGTGAGGACCCAGATACACACTGATGACAGGTTGTTATGGTGACTTACCGACCATGAGTAGCCAGTGGCCAGTGGGGACCAGTTACACACTGATGACAGGTTGCTATTGTGACTTACCGACCATGAGTAGCCAGTGGCCAGTGAAAACCAGTTACACACTGATGACGGGTTGCTATGGTGACTTACCGTCCATGAGTAGCCAGTGGCCAGTGAGGACCCAGATACACACTATGAAGAAGGACAGACAGAAAGAGAGTATCTCCGCGGCAGTGAACCGGCCACACACACCAAATGATATCCTGTAAATCAAAAGTAAATTACCAACTTTACTACAAATGCCCCTTTTCCTGTCGGCCATAAAATCTAGAAAAGTTGAAACCAAGAGTTTTGGGAGGTGTTGGTCTGACTCAAAACATCAAAAATAATAATTATGTTTCAGACCTTACGTTCTTAACATACTTATACAGATTTGGGGCAATTCTTGTTAAAATTATCACATATGGGTCTCTTATTGAAAATATCCTTAACACATGTATGTACCGGTATGTGAAATGAAATAAAAGTATCACTTATCTACTTCATGTTGACTATTCTTTATACATACATTTGAAATAAAATATGACAGAATACACTGTCATCAATATTCACAGTTTAGGTGGTGATGACCTGTGCAGTACTTGCACATGGACCTTTGGTCTATCTACCTAACTGTAAAATAGTAACTCATGTGTGCACATGTAACTTTGATAATTAATAACTATATTTATGTTTTGTTTGTGTGTGTGTCTGCGTCTCAAGAATATTGAACCATTTAGAAAAAAAATGAACTCTAAGAACAATATTGATCACTTGGATGTCTGATTCTAGAGACCCTAAGTTCTAAACTAGGGGGAGATAAGCTAGTAGTAAAATGCAGTTAAGAAATTCTTCATAAAAACTTAGGGGCTGGTAGCCAGTCTAAGTACTTAGGGGCTGATAGCCAGTCTAAGTTCTTAGGGGCTGGTAGCAAGTCGAAGTACTTAGGGGCTGGTAGCCAGTCTAAGTACTTAGGGGCTGGTAGCCAGTCTAAGTACTTAGGGGCTGGTAGCCAGTCTAAGTTCCCAGGTATGGATGAAACATTTCTCCTTAACCTGTGACACAGATGGAGGTGTTGAGGTACAGTTTCTATATCCCATGTCAACTCAGTTTCTAATATTCACTGACTAAGAGATCATACGGATCAGTTAAACAGAAACTTTTGTTATTTTTTCACTGTTCTTAAGGTAAATCCTATTGAATTAGGAATATTTTTCTAGACTTGTTATGTAAAATGTATGCAATGGTACCTAATTTGGTAATTTGATGTAGATGGAACCTACTTCAGTCAACTGTGTGAATTAAAGTAACCTATTTGGTCCACTCTGTATATATCAGGTACCTACTTTGGTCCACTCTGTATATATCAGGTACCTACTTATGTCCACTCTGTATATATCAGGTACCTACTTTGGTACACTCTGTATATATCAGGTACCTACTTTGGTCCACTATGTTAACAAAAGTTACCTATTTGGTCCTATCTGTATATATCAGGTACCTACTTTGGTCCACTCTGTGTATATCAGGTACCTACTTTGGTCCACTCTGTGTATATCAGGTACCTACTTTGGTCCACTCTATATATATCAGGTACCTACTTTGGTCCACTCTATATATATCAGGTACCTACTTTGGTCCACTATGTATATATAAGGTACCTACTTTGGTGCACAATGTTAACAAAAGTTCCTTATTTGGTCCACTCTGTATATATCAGGTACCTACTTATGTCCACTCTGTATATATCAGGTACCTACTTATGTCCACTCTGTATATATCAGGTACCTCCTTTGGTACACTCTGTATATATCAGGTACCAACTTTGGTCCACTATGTTAACAAAAGTTACCTATTTGGTCCTATCTGTATATATCAGGTACCTACTTTGGTCCACTCTATATATATCAGGTACCTACTTTGGTCCACTCTGTGTATATCAGGTACCTACTTTGGTCCACTCTATATATATCAGGTACCTACTTTGGTCCACTCTGAATATATCAGGTACCTACTTTGGTACACTATGTTAACAAAAGTTACCTACTTTGGTCCACTCTGTATATATCAGGTACCTACTTCGGTCCACTCTGTATATATCAGGTACCTACTTTGGTCCACTCTGTATATATCAGGTACCTACTTTGGTCCACTATGTATATATCAGGTACCTACTTTGGTACACTATGTATATATCAGGTACCTACTTTGGTCCACTATGTTAACAAAAGTTACCTATTTGGTCCTATCTGTATATATCAGGTACCTACTTTGGTCCACTCTGTATATATCAGGTACCTACTTTGGTCCACTCTGTATATACAAGGTACTTACTTTTGTCCACTGGAGCATGGTTTGATGACGTACTGAGACATGGGCAACAGGAGGAAGGCAAATGCTACAGTCGCCAACACTGAAAAGGAAAGTAGGCCATGATCGTTATGTGTTATAGGGAAAGTAGGCCATGATCGTTATGCGTTATAGGGAAAGTAGGCCATGATTCTTATGTGTTATAGGGAAAGTAGGCCATGATCGTTATGCGTTATAGGGAAAGTAGGTCATGATTCTTATGTGTTATAGGTACCTACTTTGGTCCACTCTGAATATTATAGGGAAAGTAGGCCATGATCGTTATGCGTTATAGGGAAAGTAGGCCATGATTGTTATGTGTTTTAGGGAAAGTAGGCCATGTTTGTTATGTGTTATAGGAAAAGTAGGCCATGATCTTTATGTGTTATAGGGAAATTAGGCCATGATCTTTATGTGTTATAGGGAAAGAAGGCCATGATTGTTATGTGTTTTAGGGAAAGTAAGCCATGATCGTTATGTGTTTTAGGGAAAGTAGGCCATGATTGTTATGTGTTTTAGGGAAAGTAGGTCATGATTGTTATGTGATATAGGGAAAGTAGGCCATGATCTTTATGTGTTTTAGGGAAAGTAGGCCATGATTGTTATGTGTTTTAGGGAAAGTAGGCCATGATTGTTATGTGTTTTAGGGAAAGTAACCCATGATTTTTATGTGTTTTAGGGAAAGTAGGCCATGATCGTTATGTGTTATAGGGAAAGTAGGCCATGATCATTATGTGTTATAGGGAAAGTAGGCCATGATCATTATGTGTTATAGACAGTGAGCTTTAGCAGATTAACCCATCATAGAAAAGATAGGTTACAAACTTACTGTAAAAGTGGAAATTTTCATTTGTGGAAATGTTCTTGTTGCGACTATTTAGCCTGTTCATGATGTGGAAATTTCTATATTGTCAATAGTTTTGAAACGTACATATTCTATATATATACATATAATCTATCAATAAATATTTGTGGGGAGATATTTTCACGTTTACTTACTCAATACGAACATTTCAACTTCTACAATATTTGAACATATGTTTGAATTACTGTAAACCTATTTATTTTAATGCACCCAAATTTTAGACCAATCAATTTCAGAGATTTTATCATGTGACATACTAATGACTATTCATTGCTTTGTGCAAAAAATAAAAGTTAAGTTGTTACGAGAACTAACCCCTGACAGTTTGACCCTGTGAAATGAAAGTGCTCTAAAGCAGGGCGGCACCGAACGATCAGTTGTCTAACAAAACAAGTATCCTGTTACAGTCATGATTATGTCCTCAGGAGGCTTGTGTATATCAGAGTTGATAGTGACCTGTTTATAACACGAAGGAGGAGTTAAACACTTTCTCCTGTTTCCCTGTGTGACATAATCCACACAATGCTGCTGACCTACACCTGTGTCTATCAACATATTTATTCATTACCTGTATCCACACCTAGGACGACACAGGAATCATACCAAAGGTGAGAAACTAAACCTATGATAAAATCGGGTTACCATGGTTTTCATTAAGCTTAACGACAAACTGTTAAATACTTGATCAATATACAATCGATGAGCAGAAATTCAGGAATCTGTGCGTCATGTTTATTCATGAATTTATAACAAAAATAAAAATAAAAAGTAGCCATAAGCTCCTTAATTACAAAATCTGTTATTTATTATACCTCATTCATCTCAGAATCTCTGATATTCTCGAAGATGGTTCAGTTTTGTGCCAGTTTATATCAATATTTCTTTTAATTATGATTTATTAAATTACTTGTTTACCTGTATTTTATCATAGTCCAAATATCTTCAATGATATGAGGTATTTAACCACATTTTTATAAGTTTTCCTCAAGGTGTACAAAACCGTCGCTTGACCGAATCAGTGTTATATGATAAGAACCTTTACCTGATGTAAATAATGTAAATCTATATTTTGTTGTTCAATTTTCTTAGTCATTGTAAAAAAAATACACAACATTTATAAATAATTCATGTTTAACTCATATTGGCAATTAATATACACCTTAACCTTCTTGTGTCTCACCTGCAGTGCAAATTGCAAAAACCATCTGTAGTGAGTCAAAGAAGAGGAACATCACAAGGAGGGAAATTGAGGCCCCAATTGGGAGAAATGCAGCTTGGCAAGAATCAATGGTCTGGACCTCTATAATAAAACATCAGAAAGATTTCTGAAGATAATGCGTGTTAATTGAAATCTATTTGGATGTTTAATGTACATGCACATTTTTCTTTTAAATTCAGCGCTCCAGAATGAACAATATGTTTTTTACAATAAAAGCTAAGTCATAATTTATGCATTACTAACTACTTGTCAACCACAAACTGTAATTTTTGCAAATCATATCATGATTTATTTGTATCTCTGATAACAGTCAACTTCCTGTTTCATGGCAAATGCGGTTTCAACATTATAACACTGTTTTATTTACAGCAGCAAAATGCGATGAAATTTATTACTGAAATAACTTATTTTTTCAATTACAATACAGTACGTAACATCAAAGTAGTTATTTAGTCTAAATTCAAAATAGTCTGATGGTTCAATTTTTTGCATTGATAAAAAACATTTATCAACATTTAAAACAGAGACATTAACAATAGTAAAACAAAATCATTCTATGATGAATATAAAAGTCCAATCAACAATATTGTTGTAGTAAAATTCAACTTACGTCCTTCATTATCAGCTGAAGGGTACGAATCCTTCTCTTTTTCTTTTTCTTGATGTTCTTGCTCCAGGTTCAAAGATCTAGAAAATATTTTGATATAAAATATAAATATTAACCCTGTTGTATCGTATGGGTTATAAATTATCTTTATTTCCATTACTTTGCAACATTGTATGTATCTACAAGGGATCAGGCCTGCTATAGTGGCTTCCCCTGTGATATTGGCTTCCCCTGCTATATTGGTGGCTTCCCCTGCTATATTGGCTTCCCCTGCTATATTGGTGGCTTCCCCTGCTATATTGATTTCCCCTGCTATATTGATTTCCTCTGCTATATTGGCTTCTCCTGCTATATTGGCTTCCCCTGCTATATTGGCTTCCCCTGCTATATTGATTTCCTCTGCTATATTGATTTCCCCTGCTATATTGATTTCCTCTGCTATATTGGCTTTCCCTGCTATATTGGCTTCCCCTGCTATATTGGTTTCCCCTGCTATATTGGCTTCTCCTGCTATATTGGTTTTCCCTGCTATATTGGTGGCTTCCCCTGCTATATTGATTCCCCCTGCTATATTGGCTTCCCCTGCTATATTGGTTTCCCCTGCTATATTGGCTTCCCCTGCTATATTGATTTCCTCTGCTATATTGATTTCCCCTGCTATATTGGCATCTCCTGCTATATTGGTTTCCCCTTCTATATTGGCTTCTGCTATATTGGCTTCTGCTATATTGGCTTTCCCTGCTATATTGGTTTCCCCTGCTATATTGGCTCCTGCTATATTGGCTTCTGCTATATTGGCTTCCCCTGCTATATTGGTTTCCCCTGCTCTAGTGGCTTCCCCTGCTATAGTGGGTTCCCCTGCTATATTGGCTTTCCCTGCTATATTGGCTTCCCCTGCTATAGTGGTTTCCCCTGCTATATTGGCTTTCCCTGCTATATTGGTTTCCCCCTGCTATATTGGCTTCCCCTGCTATATTGGCTTCCCCTGCTATATTGGCCTCCTCTGCTATAGTAGCTCCCCCTGCTATATTGGCTTCCCCTGCTATATTGGCTTCCCCTGCTATATTGATTTCCTCTGCTATATTGGCTTCCCCTGCTATATTGGTTTCCCCTGCTATATTGGCTTCCCCTGCTATATTGGCTTCCCCTGCTATATTGGTTTCCCCTGCGATATTGGCTTCTCCTGCTATATTTGCTATATTGGCTTCTGCTATATTGGCTTCCCCTGCTCACATGATGGTGTATCAACCCTAATGATAGATCTGACACCTGGGTATAAGGTCACATCGACCTACATGTCACATGATGGTGTATCGGCCCTAAGGATAGATCTGACGCCTGGGTATAAGGTCACATCGACCTACATGTCACATGATGGTTTATCAACCCTAAGGATAGATCTGACACCTGGGTATAAGGACACATCGACCTTCATGTCACATGATGGTGTATCAACCCCGAGGATAGATCTGACACCTCCCCTGCTATATTGGCTTCCCCTGCTATATTGATTTCCTCTGCTATATTGGCTTCCCCTGCTATATTGGTTTCCCCTGCTATATTGGCTTCCCCTGCTATATTTGTTTCCCCTGCGATATTGGCTTCTCCTGCTATATTTGCTATATTGGCTTCTGCTATATTGGCTTTCCCTGCTCACATGATGGTGTATCAACCCTAATGATAGATCTGACACCTGGGTATAAGGTCACATCGACCTTCATGTCACATGATGGTGTATCACCCCCGAGGATAGATCTGACACCTGGGTATAAGGGCACATCGACCTACATGTCACATGATGGTGTATCAACCCTAAGGATAGATATGCCACCTGGGTATAAGGTCTCATCGACCTACATGTCACATGATGGTGTATCAACCCTAAGGATAGATATGCCACCTGGGTATAAGGTCTCATCGACCTACATGTCACATGATGGTGTATCAACCCTAAGGATAGATATGCCACCTGGGTATAAGGTCTCATCGACCTACATGTCACATGATGGTGTATCAACCCTAAGGATAGATATGCCACCTGGGTATAAGGTCACATCGACCTACATGTCACATGATAGTGTATCAACCCTAAGGATAGATCTGACACCTGGGTATAAGGTCGCATCGACCTACATGTCACATGATGGTGTATCGGCCCTAAGGATAGATCTGACACCTGGGTATAAGGACACATCGACCTTCATGTCACATGATGGTGTATCAACCCCGAGGATAGATCTGACACCTGGGTATAAGGTCACATCGACCTACATGTCACATGATGGTGTATCGGCCCTAAGGATAGATCTGACACCTGGGTATAAGGTCACATCGACCTTCATGTCACATGATAGTGTATCAACCCTAAGGATAGATCTGACACCTGGGTATAAGGTCACATCGACCTACATGTCACATGATGGTGTATCAACCCTAAGGATAGATCTGACACCTGGGTATAAGGTCACATCGACCTACATGTCACATGATGGTGTATCAACCCTAAGGATAGATCTGACACCTGGGTATAAGGTCACATCGACCTACATGTCACATGATGGTGTATCAACCCTAAGGATAGATCTGACACCTGGGTATAAGGTCACATCGACCTACATGTCACATGATGGTGTATCAACCCTAAGGATAGATCTGACACCTGGGTATAAGGTCACATCGACCTACATGTCACATGATGGTGTATCAACCCTAAGGATAGATCTGACACCTGGGTATAAGGTCACATCGACCTACATGTCACATGATGGTGTATCAACCCTAAGGATAGATCTGACACCTGGGTATAAGGTCACATCGACCTACATGTCACATGATGGTGTATCAACCCTAAGGATAGATCTGACACCTGGGTATAAGGTCACATCGACCTACATGTCACATGATGGTGTATCAACCCTAAGGATAGATCTGACACCTGGGTATAAGGTCACATCGACCTACATGTCACATGATGGTGTATCAACCCTAAGGATAGATCTGACACCTGGGTATAAGGTCACATCGACCTACATGTCACATGATGGTGTATCAACCCTAAGGATAGATCTGACACCTGGGTATAAGGTCACATCGACCTACATGTCACATGATGGTGTATCAACCCTAAGGATAGATCTGACACCTGGGTATAAGGTCACATCGACCTACATGTCACATGATGGTGTATCAACCCTAAGGATAGATCTGACACCTGGGTATAAGGTCACATCGACCTACATGTCACATGATGGTGTATCAACCCTAAGGATAGATCTGACACCTGGGTATAAGGTCACATCGACCTACATGTCACATGATGGTGTATCAACCCTAAGGATAGATCTGACACCTGGGTATAAGGTCACATCGACCTACATGTCACATGATGGTGTATCAACCCTAAGGATAGATCTGACACCTGGGTATAAGGTCACATCGACCTACATGTCACATGATGGTGTATCAACCCTAAGGATAGATCTGACACCTGGGTATAAGGTCACATCGACCTACATGTCACATGATGGTGTATCAACCCTAAGGATAGATCTGACACCTGGGTATAAGGTCACATCGACCTACATGTCACATGATGGTGTATCAACCCTAAGGATAGATCTGACACCTGGGTATAAGGTCACATCGACCTACATGTCACATGATGGTGTATCAACCCTAAGGATAGATTTGACACCTGGGTATAAGGTCACATCGACCTACATGTCACATGATGGTGTATCAACCCTAAGGATAGATCTGACACCTGGGTATAAAATCTGATGACTAATGTAGAAGGAGAGAAATGGAGCCAAACTTTACTTAATTTAGTGACGGAAAATGTAGGTCACTGTGACCTACATGTGATATGATTGTTATCTACCCTTAAAATGTATCTGCATATAAGGTTTTATAACTATTGGCTTGAAATATCAGAAAAATGAAGGTAATTAAATGGGAAGTCTATCCACGCCAATATCGTTAAATGGAGCATCACTACAAGGTGTTTAGTTACAAAACCGGATACGTAGCCTGAATCCGAAGAGTTTGTGACATTTTCGTACAGATGTATAGCCGAACTCTTTGATGAAAGGGTAAAATACAATTTTGAAATTTAATAGTTAACAGAAGATCTAGATAACAGCATCATTCATATACAACCGGAACCTAGGGAAGCCAGAATTTATCAAAAATTTCCAAGGACACAGCTCGTTTTTGAAGGACTCAATTGTCAATCGTAACTAGATGGAAAACATTATGCATGTCCACTTATACATATTTAACGAGCAAATGTAATAAATCAAACTGGTTTCATTAAAGTGAGTTAAAATTTAACCTGATCATTGATAAACGACTGGTTCACGTTTGTAAGGTAAAGTCCAGTTCTAAGTAATATCACAGTAGGTTTGTAGTCCCGCTAAACATTTGTTTACCACAACTAAAAGAAGATTCCTGAAATCTAGGTCAGGCATCCAATACAGAACAATATACAAACTTTTCTAACCAGAGGTAGTGGACAGATATTCAGCTCAAATGTCTTAAAAGTCAATTTTCAAACAAATTTTTAATTCACACAAATAAGACATGCCTGATTATAATAATCAATGCCAGAAATAGAGTCTGCTTTGACCTTGATATGCAATCTTGAACATGGCTGTTGGCGTGTCTCTGCAGGAGATACCGTGCCTTTCCTGTTAAACTAGTGAAGGTTTTTAGATATTTACATCACATACAAGGTTATTAGTCATTTGAACTTTTTCGTTCACCTTCAAATGAAGACCTTCTAAGTGTAAGAAAGCCCAGCTAGACACACCTAGACTTGACCTATCTGGACCTATATCTGCGGTGTGTGTTTTGTTATGGAAGACTAGGACNCAGCTCAGAGTTCTATTGATAAACTTAAATCACCCTATAGACATATCATACGCAATTGTATTGATACTGAGTTGTGGAATAAAATTGAAGTGTTTGTTAAAATTTAAAAGTACTAGTTTGTTTGCCAATCAGGATGCGACAATACGCTGTTCAAACTGTTGAACGAAATTGTGTGGACTGTTGATAAGGCGGGCATTTTTAATTTTAAATATAAATTATAAGATAAAAATTAACATAACAGGCAGAGAAAACGTAAATATAAGTATTGAACTGTTTTTGTATGGTATTTATGATCTATTTGAATGACACAGCTTTGCAAGCAAACAACATAATGCGCGCGCATTATGTTGTTTGCTTGCAAAGCTGTGTCATTCAAATAGATCATAAATACCATACAAAAACAGTTCAATACTTATATTTACGTTTTCTCTGCCTGTTATGTTAATTTTTATCTTATAATTTATATTTAAAATTAAAAATGCCCGCCTTATCAACAGTCCACACAATTTCGTTCAACAGTTTGAACAGCGTATTGTCGCATCCTGATTGGCAAACAAACTAGTACTTTTAAATTTTAACAAACACTTCAATTTTATTCCACAACTCAGTATCAATACAATTGCGTATGATATGTCTATAGGGTGATTTAAGTTTATCAATAGAACTCTGAGCTGAAAGTTAGATTTAGAATTGTTTCGTTTTATCCCCGGAACAAATTTTGCGCATGGACAAATACAGTGAACACCGTAAATCCGACCTTGCCCTCCACGAGGGAGTTATTTTGGGAAGTTAATTCCAACTTTTCTCTTTGCTCATTTTGTGAAGAATCCAGGCGTGAATTTATTTGTTGATTGTATGGGAACCTGAAAACAGTCGGTAGATTCTATAACAGACTCGTTATTTGACATGTCGTCAGAAACTGAGGAACCGTGGATGCGAGACGCGTGAAACTGATAGCGTTTAAGGTGAGTGGTCTTGCGACGGAGCAGAGATTTGTTACAAATGTCTGAAATGTTTATGTGTGCTGTAACTCATATCAGTAGGTTTGTAACATATGTGTCAGTAGGTCTATAGAATATGTGTATTTCAGACATTTGTAACGAACCCCTGTTGATCAGTGCAGTGTAACAGACGATATTTCTGATAAATTGCATGAGCGTTAAAATTGTTTCCATTGCCGGCATTGGTGATTTCAACTGATGTGCATTTTGTACGATATTGCAGACCTTGGTCTTGTTTTCGTTGTAATAAAAGTGTTTTTTATTTTATTTTTTTATTTTGCACATAAATTTACAATGACATTGTCAAATCTCACAATGCCCAGCAATATTTCAGCAGCCGTCATGTTTATTTATATTGGATATTGTAGTTCCGGTCAGAGTTGTATTAATACGCTAAGAATTTTGTCGCGTGATGCATGGTAATTAAAAGTCCCATCAACGACACAGCTTTCAAAGAGGCTATATAGTGACAATGCCATGCAAATGTAAATATACAGTCTTGTTTGTCACACAAAGCAACCTTGATTTTATGCTTCAAACAATTTTTTTCTTTTATCTACCAACCGAATTGACATTAATATCTTTCTATCAAGAAAAATTAAACAAATAAAACATAAAAATCAAATATAAGAACATGTACCTGTATTCAATGTGTACCAAGTTTTCATTTCATTTGGTAGAGTGAACACTACTCCAGACATTTACTACACATTGGGATATGTTGCTCTACCCAAACACTACCCCAGACACTTACTACACATTGGGATATGTTGCTCTGCCCAAACACTACTCCAGACACTAACCACACATTGAGATATGTTGCTCTGCCCAAACACTACCCCAGACACTTACTACACATTGGGATATGTTGCTCTGCCCAAACACTACCCCAGACACTTACTACACATTGGGATATGTTGCTCTGCCCAAACACTAC